ATTTTCAATACTTAGATGTCGAGAAGGAGAGATAGAGATGTAAATTGGAGCCCAGAAGCTAAGGAGCAACTCCTTAGACATCTAGGTGAGTTCAATTTATTGAACTCCGCCGGTACAACCCTGAACCGAGACAAATTCACGCAATGGGCAACCGAGCTAAGTAACTATTTCAGCGTCCCACTTAGTTGGGATAAAGTTAAACAAAAAGCTGTGAGGTTGAAAAAAATGTTTGAAGCAGAATTCCTACTTCGGACTGCAACTGGCCTTGGTTGGGATCCAATTGAGAAGAGACCAACCTGCACCGATTAATATTGACAACAATTTGTCACTGTAAGTTCATCTTTGTTTTCTGTAATTGATTTATGACGTGCTGTCTTACTTTTTCATTGATGAGAGAGGATTGGCTATATTATTTTCATTGTCAATATTACCATATATGCAGAGCCATCCTAAGGTTGAAAGGGCAAGAAGGAAGCCTTTAGCGGAGTATGATTTGTATTATTGCGCTTTTGTGAATTCACGTGCCACCGGTGTAAACGAGTACGGCCAAGAAGAAGCCCCTATAACTCCACCTTATCCCCTAGAACCGATCCCAACCAGCCCCATTGACATTGACGGAGGGTCCCAACACTTCAATGATACCTTCGAAAATGATTACACAGAAATGAGGCCTGGTGTAAGCGGTGGCGGCCGAACCCCACATGTTGCCTCACAATCCCGTTTAAATAATAAACGGTCAGCTAGACACAGTCAGACACGCGTGCCAAACTTCATGGAGTGTGCAGTGGATCGCCTAGTGTCATCTATTGAGGACCACGGCCGTAAGCGTGGTAAAAGTTCCGCCACACCGCCTTCAGTTGAGAAGGAGACGTTTGAGGACAAATGCATTGATTTACTTGGAGAGTTGGAAATACCTCAAGATCAATATCTTTTCATGTTCAACTTCTTGACGACACATGCTACACTCCAGCGGCCATTTTTGCGCATGAAGGAGCATCACCGATTGGCTTGGATCCAACAGATGATGGAGCAACATGCAAATCAGCAAGTTTCGCCTCCACCACCACCATTCATGCCTGTACCACCGCATCCGTTTCAGTCTCGCAATCCAATGAACCAGTATTTCACACACTCCTTCCATCCGACTGTTAACACATTCCAACCGACCACTAGTAATTTTCAACCATACATGCCACCACCAAACTTTCCACCATTTTTCAGCCCAAATAGAGGAGATAATGGTTCACATCCGCTTTGAAACGTTATTATGTTGTTCTTCATTTTTTTTTTTAATTCATTCCTTGCATTTTATGATTAAGATACATTGATATTTGAATTTCTATTTGGTCCAATTTTGGTTTATTTGAGGACCACGGATATGTAGAATATTTAGAGTGTTTATTTGAGACACTTGCGAATTTTCTGAGGCTGGTTGCCTTTGGCTTTAGCATTATCGTTGCAGGTTCTATATTGATTGTGATTATGTAGTGGAATGGTAATGGGTTTGCTTCATTTGTTGGACTACATTCCAACAAAAAATGCCAATTTTCATTGCTTGTATTATTGGTTTCTTGCCTCACATTGCAGGTTTATGGCTGGTGGCAAGATGGCATTTTCTACCCTTTTGGCCATTATCCACGCTTGTCACAATGTGATGGGCAAAATATTGATATGTTGTTATTGTTCATGATTTGTATTCTTAATAACAATAAAGCAACTTTGTTATTGTTGATGATGACGTGATGCTTTAGTTTGCATAGTTATTAAACCATAGAATTTTCATGTTATTAGTTGGAAGCCTTGACAGGTATGGATCACCGTAGGAACGATTGTCCAACGGACTCTAACGCATCAGACAGCGATAGTGACGACGAATTTTTCATTCAAGTTGTCGCTGCTGCAACTTTGTTATGCATTGGATTTGTATATAGAGAGCTATCACGCCGAAGGCACACTTCTGGCTGGGGAGGCCGGCTTAGAGTGGATTACTATCTCAATGGGAGTCCAGAAGTGATTTACGACAAGGTTCGCATGAGTAGTGACGCTTTTAGACGTCTATCTTCTATCCTTGAGAAAAGGGGATTACTGCAACCAACAGTTAATCTTAATGTTGACGAGCAATTATTCATATTCCTTACAATACTGTGTCAAAACTAAACTAATAGGGAGGCGCAGGACCATTGGCAGCGCTCGGGGTCCACAGTTTCGGAGTATTTCACGAAAGTTCTTGAAGCGGTTTGTCAATTAAAAAAAGACTTCATACGGCATCCAGATTTTTCTATCGTGGATCCTCACATAATTGCAGGTGGCAACAAGTATTCACCATGGTTCGATGTAAGTGATGAACTTATTACATAATTTTATCTATCTACTTCATAACTTTAGTCACATTGTATCACAAAATGAGTTTAACTAATTTTATCTATCACATAATTTTAACTTTAATCTTGTTAATTTGAAGGATTGTGTTGGAGCACTAGATGGTACGCACGTTCCATGTGTGCCTCCGCGTGAAACGGCTGAACTTTACAGAAATAAGAAGGGGTTTTTTTCGCTTAATGTGCTCGCAGTTTGCTCTTTTGATATGAGATTTACATACATGCTATCTGCTGGGAGGGTTCAGCACACGATGCAAGAGTACTTGCGTCAGCCTTAGATAGCCCGCGAAAACGATTTCTGACGCCACCGTCAGGTAACTGGAATCAATATCTAGCTAATTCGTAAACTGCATCCAAATTATAACTGTTGATTGTGATTACTTAAATACATGTAGGAAAATTCTATCTCGTTGACTCGGGCTACGCAAACAACGGATGTTTCATGGCACCATATCGGGGAACAACATACCATTTGCAAGAATATAGGAATCGACGTGGTAGTGGCTTCCGCAGTGAACGTGAATTGTTCAACTACACACACTCCTCCCTACGTAATGTAATCGAAAGAACATTTGGTGTGTGAAAAGCCAGGTTTCATATTTTGAAAAGCATTAACCGTTACCCCATTGAAAAGCAAGTTAAGGTTCCGGTTGCATGTGCTATAGTCCATAATTTTATCCATATGTACTGTAATGGAGATAGTCTATTGGACTAGTACTCACAGGATGCCGTTCCGGTTGCGGACATTGATCCCCATAATGTTGAAGAGGATATCAATGACAATGACAACCACGAAGGACAACTATTGAATTATAATACAGAATTAGAGATGAACGTTTTAAGGGATGCAAGAGCGCATACAATGTGGGCAGTGCACCGTAATCGTCGTACGCGCTAATAATAGTGTACGTAGAAGTACGATATTAATTATGTATATATTGTTGTCTTTTCTGCTCTCCATTTATAATGGAAACTGATTTCCTTCTTTTCATATGGTATTTTAATTAATTAAATGAAGAAAATATCAACTTTGTTTGTAAATTTATTACTACTTGTAGATGATTCACTTTTATTTATTCAGATTAAATTACATAAAATCAATTTAATGAAAGGAATAAAAAAATTAATTTCATAATACTATTCACAACTCAAGTATTAGTTCAAACAAACACAAACTCAAAAAAAGTTTAATCTCAAACTATAACTCAAGTTAACACAATCAAACACAAACTCAGACCCTGTTCACTTCGCTAATTCGAGTTTAGAATTTGAATTTTTCTACAGTAAAAAGCTCTCACAAACAATCACATCTAACTTTTTTGCTACAGTAAAAAGCTCTCACATAAAATCACATCTCAACTCGAATTCTAAACTCGAATCAGCGAAGTGAACGGGCCCAAATTACAACTTAAACTCAAGTTATAACTCAAACTCAACTCAAAAACTACACTCAAATTACATAACTCAAAAACACCCAAAAGAACAAGCCCTCTGTTTGCCATTTCTCTCTCCCCGCTGCCCTTCTTTCTCTCCCCACCGCTCTCTCTCTTCCCCCTCACAATCTGAGCGATCTCCCACCTATAGATGGCGGCGCCATCGCGAGCTTTGAATCCACCGTCGCCGGCTTCATGATTCCAACATGCTGCTCGTGGTTCCAATGAGAGAGAGATGAGGAAAAATGAGGAGAGCGATGAGTAGTTCTGATGGAGGACATTTTTGGATTTTTAAAAATTGTTTTTATGAAATATGATATTTTTTTAATTTAATTTCTTTGACTAACATTTGTTTCGTATACTTTTAAAAAACTGATATTCTCTACCATTTTTGTTGAGTGGACGTTTGATTTATAGATTCAGAATCATAAGTTAAAATTATTTTTAATTTATGTGTATTTTTTATAAGAAAAAATATTATAATTCACCACAAATTATAATTCAAATCAATGTACAAATCCACCAATCAAACAGGCCTAAGTGATTAAGTCATGAGTATTGATATACAGCTCCATGGAGCTGTAACTCCTCAAGACACACAGGTGAGCTGTAACTTCAGTAGCGACAGGACGGCATTTATTGAAACAGAGAATGTTAACTCTAATTGTATCTTGATTAAACGTTCTAAATCATGCTCCTACCATATTTCCTTGTATTCCCAATGACTTTTTGTTACTCAACACACTTCAGATGGTGGAAATTTTTCCCAAAAAAAAAAGAAAAAAAAGAGGTCACAAAATTGCAAAGCTCGTAGAACTAGTTTTTTATGGTTCAATTGTTATCTGCTTTTCATGCACTTAGATACGTTTTAACAAGTTCCAATATGCTTGGAGAGATTACAATTATGGTGTTAACTCTAACTGTATCTGGATACGTTTTTTAGGGTTCAATTTTTTTTGCTTCTACAATGATTTTTTATATTTACAAAAGAACAAGTCCTAAGTCATGAGTATTGATATACAGCTCCATGGAGCCGTAACTCCTCAAGACACACATGTGAGTTCTATATGGGTCCTATATACAGCTCCATATGATATTTGTTTTTTTGTTTTTTTGTTTTTTTTTTATAAAAAAGAAGCAGGATTTAAGCAGCGCTGTAAAAATATAGAAAAAATTATTTAGGGACAGGATAGGTATACATCAAATTATTCAAAACCTGATAAAATCCCAGATCAAGGGGATGCGATGCATGTTCTTGCTTTGTTGGACTATCGGGTTGAACTATATGCATTTGTATGCTCTACAACTAAGAATGACATAATCCATAACATGAACTTCCATTATGCTACCAATATTTCATCATCCTTTATTGTCATTTGATTTTGTTGAAGCAGGTGGTTTATTCCATGACAGATATGTGTATCATATTGGCAGACAATAGTAAGGTTGTTCATCGGCTTGGTAGCAAATTTCCAGTTGCGGTTAGTTCCCATTTCATTTGCTGTAGTTGAATAGTTCAGTTCTTCATAGCTGATTTAATGCCCTCATGATGATGCTGTAATTTTCCATGAACTGTACTGTACTTTTCCATGGAATGTAACTTTCCAATACCTCTGAAAAAGTTCTAGAAATTGATTAGACTATTTAACCAAACGGAATAACCTTGTATTATTTTCTAAGCAGTGCTTGTATGGTGGGGTAAGATCATCTCCAATGCAGTGCTATAATTGTTGTGCCAAGTGTAAATTTAGCATTTGAGTACAAAAAAACTCTTCAATGCAATGTTATTTGTTGTGGCAAATTTTCCATATGTTATACTTTGTGGCAAATTTTCCACCAAATATAGCATATGACAAATTTGGCACTTGATTTCTATTGGTTGATATAGTTACTTTTTCATTTTATGATTACAACTTTTGCTTTTTAAAATTATTTTAAAACTAAATGATTAATTTTACAACTTTTAATGCTTAATGATTATAGAAAAAGTAGATTTTAGCATTTCAAATAGCATTGTGCATTGGAACACAAATGAAAATAACATGTTCTATCATACGTTTTGGTGTCAAATATACAATTGGCATTAGTATTTGCGTTAGAGATGGTCTAAGGATCCTAAGAGTTTTGATGAAGGTAGATTCCATTTAGTTGGCGATCCCCGGTTCCAAATTCCACTTTATTATTTGAAGATTCAGTTTCAGTAGGGACGGGACGGTATTTATCGAAACAGAGAATGTCAACTCTAACTATATCTTGATTAAACGTTCTAAATCATGCTCCTACCAAATTTCCTTGTATTCCCAATGACTTTTTGTTACTCAACTCACTTCAGATGGTGGAAATTTTCCCCATAAAAACTTAAAAAAGAGGTCACAAAATTGCAAAGCTCGTAGAACTAGTTTTTTATGGTTCAATTGTTATATGCTTTTCATGCACTGGATACGTTTTAACAAGTTCCAATATGCTTGGAGAGATTACAGTTAATAGGCAATTTGAGCCTCTTTGAGGCAGATGTCCCATCGTATCCCATCTCTACGTGTGTGTCAGTTTGTTTGCGTCAAATTCATGTATGACCCTATCCTACCATGTACCGATTATTATCAAGATGCGTTTCAGGTCGAAGTTCTTCCCATTGCTGTAACACCTGTTCTAAGGCGTCTCATTGCTCTTGGAGGAGGTTAGTTTTTACAGTACCATTTATACTTGAATATAGTGATGCATCTCCTTTCTTCCTTTTTTTTTTTTTTTTTTCTTTTGCTTCTAAACTTCATACTAATTTCTTTTAAAAAAATGTTCATCTTCTACGTTTTATTGGATCTCATTACTAGTAGATTGGCAATAACTTTTAGGGATGGTATTATCCATTCTAAATTGTTGTTCTAGGTCAAAGGATTTTTGAGCTCCTTGCAAGTTTTATAAGGCTTATTAAGGTTATTTTTTTCCTCCTCAATCTCTTTTACTGACTTAATTTTCTGAAGCATTTATCAGTTCCTGAAGCCAGATCTGCCCTAGGAAAGGATGGGCCAGTGATCACTGATCTTGGTAATATGATCATAGATGTGAGGTATGTTCGTACTACCGGCTACAGCTATACCTTTTTTATTATTTTTATAGAATATACCTCTTAATATGTTCCTTCCTCATTGAGATTTATAGAATTTGTTTTTAGTTTTAAACCTGATTCATATCATTAACTTTGTCAGCTTCTCAAATGGGATACAAAACCCTGATGAACTTGAAAAGAATATCAATCTGATACCCGGTGTGGGACTTAATTCTCAAAATTAAAAGATCAAGGACCAAACGGCCACTCTCTAAAAGAGTTAGGGACCGATTACTCTTTTAGTTTTTTATATGCTTCTTATTTCACCAACCATAGTGGCTATCCGAATGTTGTTCATGTACACTTTAAGCGCTAATAACGCAAACTCCAAACCCTCCTACCCAGTGCACACTAAGCGCTTTGATGCTAATTTTCCTAACTCCTTAGTTGTTCATTAAAAAAAAAAAAAGGTTTTCCAATCACATATATAAAGCAGCTCCCACTAAATTGTACTGAAGACAATCCAATGGAACTCTATTAGCAATTATTACAAGTAAACAAGGAAAATTACCCACAGAATTCAGATATAATGGCGAAAAGTGCTTGGAGTTGAACTAGGTGTAAATGGTAAATTCTGTGGGTAATGGTAAATTACCCACAGAATTTATATGGTAAATGTTGTATTTCCTTCATTTACCAGATAAACCTATATTTAGTAAATGGGGGATTTATCATGTAAATCGCCAAATTATCAGAAAGCAACTTATTGGTTACAACATCAAAGCATTTCTTTAACCGGTAAATCCATCATTTATCACCTAAATTCTCCATTTACCAAATTGAACAAAATCTGTTTGTTAGTAAATGAAGCATTTACAAGGTAATTTTGCATGTACTAACAGAATATGTTCGTGAATAGTAAATGCATTCTCCTTTCTATTATAGTTATAGAAAGATAGAAAATTCCTGTTCTGGGATTGCTCTACTTCAAAAACCATAAAACTTAAGGAGGTATATTTTTTAAGTACTTATAACTTCAAAATCGAGTTAAAAGAAAACGCATCGAAACATCACCCACAAAAATAGAATATGTTCAACTTTTCTTTTATGTTTCCTGTGCATCAATAAAAGAGAGAAACCAATGAACGGAACAATGAATTTAAAAGAAAAGGATGAGCTATTACTTGCTAGTATATAAAATAAAATAAATGACGTATAAGTCACTGAAATCCGGAGCCCATAATCACGCACAGCAAGGATGCGAAAAGATAATCTATAGTTCCTTTTTGAATTCTTTTCAATAAATGCAGAAAAACTAACGAAAAGCGTTTGGGGTCAAACCAGGCGTTATCCAAGTTGAGCGGACGAGTGAAGAAGTTGAAGTTGACACACCAAAACCAAGGCCTTCAGTTCTTCGCGTTTCCATGTCATAAACGCCAATGTCAAGACCCTGGATATTGTGCAACCACTCTAGCTCCCAATTGTCATCCGTAAAGTAGATCCTATTCTTCCTGCAATTAACAGTGTTTGCAGAAAAAATGCTCCATGAGGTGTTGTTGCCAACGAAAAAGGCCTTGTCCCTAATACTGATTACACTTTCCCACCCGACGCCTCGAGGATTGAACTTGTACACTGCAAACTCCGCCGTTCTTTGATCAGACCCCATATCTTCGCTGTAGCGGAAAACCCCGAACAGATCATCGTCAGGTGATGCAACCAAGTATGCTCTGCCTGTCCTTTCCATTTCAGGCAGAGGCCCGACCGATTCACCTATGGGATGGGCAGCAATGAGCTCAACTTTTGCAGAAAGAGGCCCAGAAAACTCCATCAACTTCACTAATTCATTGACTGTAGAACTCATTTTACCTGATATGTTGTGGAAAGCAAACTCTATCCTAACAAGTGAGCCATCATCACAAAGTGCGTATACTTGATCTTGGCCTCGTAAGTAAGAGATGTCTCTGAAAAGTAGCTTTCCTGGATTGCTAATCCAAATCCATTCTCCATCTCCGGGTACCCCGGTAAAAGCCACTTGATTTTCTGGATTAAAAATTACCATGACAAGGAACTTATCAATCTTGATCTTGAACACCAGGATTTTATGTATCATGTGGAACTGGTTTTTCCTAGAAAGCTGGTTGTGCATTGTTGGGAAAGGTGGGAGATTGATGCACACTTCCGAAATGGATTCATAAGTTGGGCTTCAAGTTCAGGGTCAACAGTTACAAGCCAACCATAGGAAGATCCCCAAATGCGCCTTCGTACAACTGCAGGTAGTTCTAGTATGAAACCATTGTTGTTGTGGAGATTGAAGAAAGAGTGAGAGGAGCTGCCCGAATTCTCAGAAAGCATAAGACAAGGAGGTTTGGGACCTTCATCCCATTCCATATTGGAACAAACACTTCGGCTCGAATGACAGACCTCCGAAAAGGCCACAAAATCCTTGTAGTGAAGGACCTTCTTTGAGATAATATCAAGGCAATTGTCGGGGAGTTGGCTTAGCTTATCAGGATAGCTGTCTTGTGACTCATCATCAACTGCCGTCTCTACAGATTGGACAGAGTCACCATTTGGAAGTTTGAGCTGATTCAGTACATCATCGGTCTTGGCATCACTTCCAGGCAAAAACAAAGGGAAGTTAGTTGAAAACTAGGAGACAAGACAGTAAGTGGTACTAGTTTTCTAGGCAAAAACAAAGTGAAGTGAGTTCAAAAGTGGTACAGCGAAATAGACGAGAGAACAGAGAAGAAAATTGATGAGTACATGTGTGTTTTCTTTTGAAAATCCAGAGGCCAAATTTTCAAGAAAGAAAGTTCATACATGAAAAGGAAAGACCAAGAAAAGTTCAATGGCACAAGTACTAGAAACTCGAAGTAAAAAAGAATGCTAATTAAAATAAACTTCCTATATTTTGAGGATAGATTTTAGTATCTATCCTTCCTGAATTTCTCATAAGTTGGCAGTTTTATCTCTATTTTTTGTTTTTCACAATTTAGTTCCAAAATATTTTAACTAGCAACCACTAAGTGGGATAGTTATTGGGCTAGGGGACTTGGCCAGGTCGAAGTTGAGATAAGGGTTGAGTCAAGGACACGGACAAGGTCAAGGTGGCCTAAGTCAATGTTGGGGTGAAAGTCAAGGTCAGGTGTTGGGGAAAAAGGCTAGGGCCAAGGCCGAGGTGAGGAAAAGAGATAGGGTTGTTGCATTGTTTTCCCCTACAATTCAGTCGGTTAGCGTTCGATAGGTCATAAGCCTCAGGGGGCAGAGCTCATTGTTTCCGGGGAAGTTGGAACAGCTAGCTTCCAACCATCTTCCTCCTCTCCCTCACTATATCCCCTAGAAAAAATTCAACATAAATTTTTTTAAAAGGTTTTACTGCACACCATATTGTTTCAATTAAATTACAATTGGGGCTCCGCCCCTGCCTGGTCCCTTACTATGCCTCATTCCTCGAATGTTCCACTACTGGAAAAGAAATTAACACTGGAAAAAAACTGCAAGCTCACCAATGCTAAATGAGTCTAATTTAATTTGTGACTAAAAATAGTCAGTTGGTTACGTCACCAATCAGTTTGATAAAAATTTATCAGCATACTGTTTGATAAAATTACTAATGGCTCAACTGTAAGTTAATAGCTCTGTCCTTCAAATGAGTAACTATCTACGTTTGAAAAGGTTTGGCTAGCTAGTGATGCAAGAAAAACAGCCAGGACACGAGTTTCTTTTGTTAACCATTCTTATTTTACTTGTTATGACATGTTAATTGATGCGGCATATTTTTACTAGGGGATAGGAAGGGGGACTAGGAAGCCGAGACCAAGTTTGCTAGCATCATTTTTCGCTGATAGCAAGTAATTACTGCTTTAATTAGTTACTAATTTGGTAGTCTAGAAGTATGAAATGTAATATGATATTAATTATTTATTTAATAAAATAGTTCATTAATTATTTTATGTGCATATATTAATGAATATTTTATGATATCAATGAAAATTTCATGATTATTTATGCGACCTTAAATATTGTATATAAGTGTTATATGCGAGAGGATAATATTTAAAGATAATAATCAAAACAACAGGTCATCGCACATTCATGGACGTGTGCGGGGGGAGAAGCTACCCCATGCGCCATCTCGGGCCCCGGATATGGTGAAAAATATGCAAGGGGGTCCTAGCACATTCATGGACGTGTGCAGGGGCAAAGCTAACCCATGATAGGAAAATTTGTCTAGGTAGTTGGAATGTAGGTTCTTTTAACCAGTAAATCTATAGAGTTAATAGATGTTATGCTGAAAAGAAGAATTAACATCTTATGCTTACAAGAAACCAAGTGGACGGGAGAGAAGGCAAAAGAGATTGGAAACCTAGGACATAAGTTATGGTACACAGGTTGGGAAAGGAATCGCAATGGAGTTGGCATTCTAGTGGACAAAACTTTGAAGGATGAAGTGGTTGAGATTAAGCGATTAGGTGATAGAATTATTATTATCAAATTTGTGTTAGGGGAGAAGTTCATATATGTAATTAGTGCTTATGCTCTACAAGTAGGATTTGATGAGGAAACTAAAACCAAGTTCTGGGAAGACATGAATGACTTAGTGCGTAGTATAGATAATGAGGGTAGCATTTTTATTGGAGGCGATTTGAATGGACATGTTGGTAAGGATAGAGAAAACTTCGAGAGGATTCACGGTGGTTTTGGTTTTGGGGCTCGAAATGAAGAAGGAAAATCTATTTTGGAATTTGCATTAAGACACGACTTTGTTATAACCAACACATTCTTTAAGAAGAGAGATTCGCATTTAATCACTTTTAAGAATGGGAGGAACTCGAACCAGATAGATTATTTTCTCACAAGGTATAGAGATTGTTCTCTATGTAAGGATTGTAAAGTAATTTCTAGAGAAGCACTAGCCACCTAACATAGGTTAGCAACCCTAGATGTGAGCATTAGGCTTTACCATAAAATGACTAAGATAAATCACATCCCACGAACTCGTTGGTGGCATTTAAAGGGAATAAAGACATTGGCTTTTAAAGAGAACTTGTTAAAGGAGGCTGCTTGGTCATGCGAAGGTGATACAAATACTATGCGGGACACCGTTGCGAGTTGCATTCTAAAAGTGGCAAAGAAGGTAGTGCTGAAACTTTAGACTGGTCGCCCGTGACCACCGAAAAGTCTGAATTTTTGCCCGAATACCGAACCCGAATTGCCCGAAAATTCGGGCTGCCCAACCCGACCCGAAAATTGCCCATGGACGAGCTTCGAGCAGGAGATGCCTACCCGTGCCCGGTCGGGCTGCCCGATGCCCGACCGGCTGCCCGAATTTTATTTTTTTATATTATATTTTTATGTTGTATAAGTATTTGTATAATTACAATGTGTATATTACAATTTGAAATAAACACACGAACTATATAAAAAAAATTACTTTTTTATTAATTTTTAAATTTGTAATTCATGATTGCCTCGTTAAAAATCTTACCAAGAAAAACCCAATTGGGATAAAAACTTGGTAAGGAAAAAAGAGTGCAATCATTGTAGGACGAATTACAAATTTGACGAACTTACAAAGTCTATACAAGATTACAATAAACACTATACAAATTAGAAATTATAAAGTAAATAAATATTTACAAATTAGAATAATAAAATTTAATTTGAAGCAGAAGGATCGTCTTGAAAATTAAAAGTTAATCTATTAAATTCGTTGATCCATTCTTGGTTTGCCGGTGAGATTATATCGTGTAAGCGTTGGTCAGAACGGTCTCAATCCTTGATGCACACCAAAGCTTCAACAATATCCTGCTGCAATGCGTTTCTCCGTTCTTCAAGTATTCGGCCGCTTGTACTGAATGTTTGTTCGGCTGCAACAGTGGAGACCGGGATCGAAAAAATATTCATTGCCAGTCGTGTTAGGATCGGCCAAGTTAATGCTCGTGCCCTCCACCACTCAACCAAATCAAATATTTCACTACTGTCTATAACTAAGCCCTCACTCAGGTACGCCATTAACTCGTTGAATCCGCCGCCACCTCTTGATGAAGATCCACTTCCACTCCCAGATTCTTCTTTACCTTGACTCGTCGTCGTCTTCTTCTTCTTCTTCTTCTTAGAAAACCCGAAAACATTTAAGAATGAATGCGGATTGTCGTCTCGTTGTTGCGGTTGTTCAACACGGGGTGTGTTTCTAAACCTACTTTCGTAAGAGATATATAGAGAATATATTTTTTCCTTTATAATAGGAAATTAGTCAGTAGTGTCGATAGTTAAAAATTCACCTAAGTTATCTAATCCACTTTCTAGACCTTCTAATTTTAATCTAGGGTCAAAAATAACACCGAAACCATACAACATGGGTAATTTAGACCAATATTTTTTAAACTTCTTTTCCATAGGGGCGATAGGAACTCCTAAAACCTCGTGTGTCCTAAATTCACTAAATAAAATAGACATTCTTAAAAGTTCTCCTAATGTTAATGGTGAAGTTGGGTAATAAGTTCCACTAAGCTTTAAGGTAACTTCGTGAAATCTATCTAAAAAGTTATACAAAAATTCGACAATTTGCCAATCAGTTTCATCTATAAATCATGTTCCTAATTTTGCACTAACATAATTTGTTATAGCATCTTTATAGGGGATGCATTGTTCAAGCATTATGTAAGTGGAGTTCTATCATATGGGCATATCTAAGGCTAATAATGCTCTAGGATTTTGACTACATGTTTGTAGAAATCTAAATCAATCTTGTATTCTTTGATTACTACCTTGAATCCAATCAATGTTATCTCTAATTTTTTTAATATAACCTGACATTAATTTTACACCGGACTTTACTATTAAATTAATTATATGACATGTACAATGTTGGTGGAAAATATCATTATTACCGAATAAACTTAAATCATTTTTAAAAAGTTCTATTGCTTTAGTATTCGCAATTGCATTATCTAATGTTATGACCATTATTCTATCTCTTAAACTGTATTCATCAATAACAGATAAAATTGTGTTATATATTAAATTGACAGTATGTGATCATATAACATATTTGAAACCTAAGATTCTCTTATCTAAATCAAAATCTTTATAATAATGTCCGGTTAC